ATACCTTCTCGAAAGCTGAAGCTTTTGTTTTAATGCCCTGAACATTGCAAAACAAGACGGGTGGAAACAACAAAAATATTTTTCCTATAGATCCCCTCGGAACTCCAATATTTTCAAGAAATTCAACAAGAGGTATCAAATGGGACTCCACTGGCAACAGTAAAATACGCGGAAATGATTCCAATAGAAATCTAAAAGTTGCCTCTACTGAGCCCAACATGTCTAAACCTCCACGTCTTGCTTCAATCTGCACCATATATTCATAAATTTTGTCACAACAGGAAGCAAATCATTTAAATGTAGCGATGCAACTGAAAAGCAGGTTGAAAAGAATTTAAAAGGGTAAACAGAAGGAAAGGATAAAAAGTATTCAGCCAAAAAAATTTAGACAACTTCACATAAACAGAAAAAGAATATTGAAGTCATATTATACCTTTTCAAAGAAGGATAAGGTTTGCTCCACATCTTCATCAGAAGGAATTGACAAGTACATCATCATACGGCGAGCATTTTTCCCACTGAGCCATTTATCATCACTGCCAGAAAAGATTATTTCCTTCATATACTTAACCTAAAAGACAAATCCAAAATAAGCAATGACTCTGACCAACAAATTGAGAAGAAGAGCTCATTTCAGTCAATTCAAAAAAGAAGCAGAACTCATTTGAAGAAAGAAAAGCATCAAATTTTTGTTTCTTGATCAGATTGGAGAAAAAGCTATAATTTTCAAATATTTCAACAAGAATACGGTATCTACAAGAGCTTAAAAACACACAAACAAAGAGCATTATATTTAACACGAAGTAAAAACTTTTGAAACTTAGCACAGAGCTACTATTGAGGAAAATGCAAATATTCTACCAAAGGATCCTTTGAATTACCAAAAGAACAAAGCTATGGAAAATTTCTAAAGGAATTCATACCATGTGTCTGGAAAGAATACCTACGAATTAGACCATGGCTTAGTACCCAAAAAGCAGACCGTTGGAAGGAATTTTAGAAAAACAAAGGCAATAGGTTAGACATGTCAAATCTAGTAAAAACCTCCTTTTGTTCATAATAAGTTAAGCATATTCATCAATATACAGACTTCTAATAACTTAACAAATGAACTGAAGAAAAACATGCCAAAGTGTAAGAATACAACAAGAAGTCAGCCTAAAATGGAACTTGAAAGGGCTAACACCTAACACCCCCTATCTTAAGCAAATGATAACAAAACATTAATTTTCAGTCTGATTATTTACTTTACGGTTAATGTAAAAGAAAACTTCAAGAGGAAGAAAGTTTTTCTAGGTGAACATCTTCTCAATACTAAAATGTAGTACTTTATAGGAGAAAAACAAGAAAAGTGATTCTTCAAACCATAGGTCTATTGTAAAAACTCCAGAAAACAGGTATTTGTATCTTTTATATATATATATATATATATTTGTCATCCAAATTGAAAAATAACCCATCATTTCCTACAACATGAAATCCATAATATTTCAGGATACTAACAGCATATGACAGTGACATCATTGATTATTTCACTTCGACAACTTGTGTTGCAATATGGACAAATTAAAGAGCGATATCCTAACTGCTTCTTGAATATCCTCATTTTCAGAGCTTGTCATTATTTTCATTTTTGAGGCTAAATAAAATCTACTCCAAAAAGACAAGCATGGTTTATATAATGTCTATAAAACATAATTTCCCATCTAGAATTTGATATTGTGTTTTTTCTTTCAAAGATAAGATCATTGCAAATATGTACATAACTGAACTACAAACTAAAATTAAAGAGAGTAAAGCAGATATAAATCAACATAAAGAGTTTTCTTGCTAACCTTATGAATTAAACTTGGAAGAGATTCTGAGGACAAATAACGCGCAACACTCATAGCCGAAGAAAGTGTCAAACCGACACTCTCCAAAAATGCAACCTTTCCATTATCACCCTTCTCCTTGGCCATATAAATAACCATTTCCTTAAACCCCAAATGCTCTCCTTCACTATTACTATTATTCCAAGCATTCCATTCCTCCAGTTCCTTAACACCATCCACCAGCATTTGCGTGTACTTGGGAGAATTAGAAGCTATGGAAATGGAGTCCTCCAAAGAAAGCCCCAGGTCTTGGAGGTACTCGGAAACAGATTCCTGGGCTTGGGTTAGATTGTGAGAAGTTTGGTCACTGGGATAGGATAGCGCCAACGGTGGTTGAGGAAAGTATATCTTGGGACAGTGGATTATTGGGTAGTGAAAGAATGAGAATGGGAGAGCATTGGGAGAGGATTTGGGAGGAAAATGGAGAAAACAGGTGTTTGGAAACAGGGATTTTAAATTCCAGTGGGTTGAGAAGGATTTGGTGGACATGGGGGACTTTCTTTAAAACCCCCAGAGAAGCCCAAGCATATGCCAGAATTTACTCTGATGGAAGAAAGCTGAAATAAAAAAGATATTTGTCATTAAAAAAAAAAAACCCCATTACAAGAAGCGAGCTATAATCTGTCAAATTCAAGGCTTCCCAACATTTTTACTATTTGCTTAAAGGTCTTGAATACTTTCCCAGAAGGTTAAGAATAAGATGAGGCCTGAAACTGATAAGGCTAATGTTTCACATTCTTTTAACAGAAAAAACAAAAAGAAAAATATACAAGTGTACACGTACATATGCTAAAGAAGTGGAAACCAGAAACAGAAGGCAAGGGGAAAAGAAGCTCACTGGAATATTCCGGCCGTGCAGAGTCGTGAGTCGGCGAGGTGAACAGTGCACTGTTTCTCAGAGGAATGAGAGTTGAGTTGAACAGATGGGACTTCAAAAGATTAGGCGCTTGCTTGCTTCTCTGTTTCCGGGAATGACAAGAAGGAGGGTGTTATATTAATATTTTCTAAAAGAACAAATTTTATTGAAGATTAAAGTAAAATAATTAATTCAATTTAATTTATAAATATATATATATAGGCAGATGAAATTATAAATTTAATAAACTTTATTTAAATATTTAACAATTACCAGATATATAAAAAATAGATAACACTTAATTAGATATGTAAATAGAAATAGCCTTCTCCAAGGAAATAAAATCAGAAAAACCATTTAATTTATATATGAATTAAAATTATTTTTTTATCTACTTCCTGTACCATTGTAATTTGAATGTGTTAATCACAGGTATTAAATCAAGATACATGTCTTCCGTCTTGTATCGAAATTTTATTTTTTTTTAATATTGAGTATAATATTATATAATAAAATATAGTTTAATTTTTAAAATTAATTATAAATAACATTTATGCATATAAAATAAAAATAATTTAAAATATTATGTTTACTAATAAATTAGAAGATTATATTGTACAAATTGAAATTTTGTTTTTTAATTTGAGCTCTCAACAATGTATTTTTTATGTTAATTTTCTAATTAAAAACTAAAAAATATTTAACATGTTGAAGTTTCATTTTTTTACTATTTTTTATTTAAATTCTAAATTGAAATTCATAATTTATTATATTTAATAAATAAATAAACAAATAATATTTTATAGTAATTAGATGAGATAAAGTTTATTAAACTATATCACAACGTAACATATCTATTACATATTGTGTGATATCTTTTGATATTTGATTGAAACAATATAATATATCGATTCATGTTGTTTTTGTTATAATGTTAATATTTCCTTTTCAAATAATCATAACTTGCATATTCTATTCTGTTTTAGATGTTTTTAACTTATCAATCATAATAAAATTCAAATTCCTTAATAATTGTCATTTAGGTTGCATAATAAATTGAATAAATTATGTTAGGCATAAATAAAAAATTTCTTAATAATTACAGGAGTATAAAAGGTGTAACAAATTTTAAAACAAATTAAATTTGAGTTAACACATCAGAAAATTAATGAAACCAGAATGTTAAGTAAACCCATATATTAAAACAATAAGTATTAATTATTAAGTATATCAAGTTATAAACTTTTGGTGAGATAGACTTATAATAGTGATGACATTGAGTAGTAAAAACCTTTTAGAATTCTATCTTTTTAAGAATGAGTACAACTGTAGATTACTTAAATAATTAATTAGATTAAATTACTACTTCCCTAAAACTCTTATATAATTCGAACAAATTAAATCTTATCTTAATACACATTAAAAAAAAAAAAGCAAATCTGAACAAATAGCTTCTACTATTGCATACAAGTGTAAATATTATTTATTCAATAATTAAAAGTTATTTAAAATGATAAATGACAATTTAGAAGTATAACAAGTAAAACTATTTATTGTTGTTGATTGAGAAGTTTTTGCAACATTCTTACTTATATATATATATATATATATACTATAGATTTTCAAAAAAAACATCTACTACAAACTATGAACAAAAATTATTCTCTAATGTAAAATCATAAGAATTTAAATTGAAATAATATTTAAAATAATTTGAGTCAAAATTGAAAAACCTTGATCAAGCAAAATCAGAGATCATTATATATGGAGCGATAGATTTTTTTTTATCTAAAACTACAAAAAACAACTGTACAATGATTCGAATCTATTTCAACTTTGTTATCTCTATTTCTCCAAAAATTTCACAAAATCAATAAATATTTAAATTTACTCTAATAAAAAATATATTTATTAAATGAAAAAACTCGTATTTATAACCCAAAGACCCCCACTACTCACCCAATCCCTTATGAAATCTGTTATATGCGTGACACAGCTGACCTGCCTCTTCTATTCCAGCAGTTACCCTGAAAATTTCTGCTAAAATGGAAACTCCGGTTCATTTTACATTGCTTAGTGGAATTTCCTATTGGACACATATAAAGTGGATCTTCCACTATCCGATATACAAAATGGCATATCTATAGTCTGATAGAAAAGGCCTAGGCCATTACGCTGCCTTGCATACCAAGCTTTTCATCACCTACTTAGCAACTGCATCAATGACATTGAAAACAAAATGTCATTGTTAACTAGTGCACATGCACCATTCAAGCCCAAATGCCCTTGAAAAGGGGAGTTGTAGATGCAGTCTCCCCGAATGTCCTGACCAAATCTGAACAAGATGGATCTGCTTCCCCTTCGGTCTCAAGTTCCAAACCCAGCTCCTTGTCGATATCATCTGAGGCCGATATCAGCAGGAATTCACATCCTTCATAGTTCAAAAAGTCAGATGGATCAGCTGGATGATACCGGCTTTGCCCCAGCTGTTCTTGCAGGTGAGCAGGGAAGGCTGCCTTGCGTTTCTTTTGAAGTCACCTGAATTGGGAATTGGCAGGTTGTTCTGGATTCTTGATTTGTATCACGAATGAGCCTTCACGCTTAATGTTGAGTGATTCTTGGGGCTCATTCTCTTCATCTTCTGATGGGAATTCAAGCTTGTAGATCAGATGAGTGTGCATTTTCTTCTTCCCTGAATTGTGCCTCAGAATGCGGTAAACGCCTTCTCCCACCGCTCTCGCAGGAAAACTACGTCGGTGGCCTCTTGTTGAAGTATCATATTCCTCTGCACAACATTAAAGTTTTAACTCTCTGCATATGTAATAAGAAGGAAAGAAAATATATCCAATGAATGGAGCAAATTAATACCTCCCTTCACAGCACTTTTCACATCTTCTATCTTCGTAGTCACCAATTCAACATAACCCCAGAAAGGTTGAGACTTCTTGCTTGGATCTGGAAGACTTTTTCGTCCCATAACCATGAACCTAAACAGTGGTTCGTTTTCAATATTTACTTCCTACAAGTGATTGAAGTTTCAAGCAACAAGCAATATTTGAATCAAATAATCAGAAAATATAGCATATGTAGTCTCAAATCATGGTTTCCTGGTCAGGATTTCTAGTAGTAGTAACAACTATCTTCTATGTAGTAGACAGACTAATTAAACAGACTTCTAATGTATTCTATGGTACAGATTGATCAACTAGTCGATGTTAGAAGGTAAAACAAGATATACAAAATACTAACCTGGCTACCTTTTCCACCTTCATATTCATTCTTGCCTGACCCACTTCGACCTTGATTTGATTTCTCCTTGGCACCCTTCTTGCCAGACTGGGGATCTTGCTTCTCTTCAACAGGTCTCTCACCGGACTCTGGGCGCAGGACAATGTACAACCGCTGCACATCGTCAACGCTGTGAGCTTCCGACTTGTTCACTTTAGGCCTATAGAAGAAGAATATTTCCCCTCTTTCCTAAATTTTGCCATAGCCAGTGAAATTAGCTCAGGGATCACCCTTCTTGAAACATTATTGAAGTATCATTGTCACTTATATTTACACCTAAAATCATAAACATGACATTTTTATGATAAATAAAGCAAAAAGGGAGAGAATGATCAGATAAATAAAAAAACTTGAATCTCAACTTGGGCATCCTCTCTGGTCCCATTTCATTCTTCTCTGTTGTCTCCTACCACTCAGCACTGACCAGAATGAATCAAAGTCACCGCTACTTTTGTCTGTTGTCTTATAAAGAAAAGAAACGGTGCTGCTAGAAATCCAATGAGAAAACTTTCCGGATTGGGAAGAACAAGACAAGACCCTTCGAAGTTGAAACAACCAGAAACTTCCCCCTCTAGCCACGTTTCCTTTTGACATGCACCACCTTTCTGTAGGCTGCCACGTTTCCTCACACAAGGCCGTTTCAGAAACACACACAAAAATATAACGGTGACGGTGAAGGTGCCAATGGAGGATAAAATGTAAGAGGGGCATTTTTGAAAAGATCAACTTTAAGTTACTATTTATAATAACATTAAACATATAGTATAATGATTAATATGATGAATTTTAATGTATGAGAAATAATATTATTTTTTCTTTGAATTGGGGATGGGGGTTTAAATTTGTTTTTTAATGACATTTATTAAAAAATTTAATACATATTTACTTAAGTAAATAAGAGCTCCATTTGACTTGCTTCTTCAAATTGAATAGAACTAATAATAAAAGCTAGGTCAACATTTATATTTAAAATTAATAATTTATGACGTGGTACCCAAAGAGGCCAAAAATGTGGCCAAACTTGGAAGCTTTATTGGGACTTCCTTTTACTTATAGGTAGATGTAATAATAAATTATTTTTATTTTTTCACCAAATTATATAAAAAATATTAACAAAAGCAGGAAAGAATTTTTATATGCAAGCAAAATACTAACATATAACAACAGAGCTTACAATTAATTATATGTATTTGTTAACATGTAAATATTGAATTATTAAGAAATTAATCTTGTGATTTCTACTTAAAATTGCAAGTAACATTTTTTTCATAATAATATAGTCACTATACTCTTAATAAATCACGTTATCATATTCAATGATTTAAGTATGAAATTAGATAAGAATTAAAATGAAAAGTGAAAAATATTATTTTTATTATAAAATAAAAATTATCTTAGAAAAATAAAGGGGAGGTTTTGAGACCATAACTTAAAGCTTTCAATTTTTTTTTTGCATGTTTGTGGTAATTTATGAAAAATAAAAAGTTTTAAGCTAGTGATGTTAATTATTATGAAATGTAAACGATTTTCAAAGAAAAGAAGCATGTGGGATATGGTGACAAAAGAAAGGTTAAATTATGTAATTAATCCTTGTATTTTGGTAAAATAGTGGATTTAACCTCTATACAATAATATATAAAATTGAGTTCCTGTAATTTTCAAAATTGACAATGTTAATCTAATTGTTAATGATGTTAAAATTTTTCTGTTATTCATGTTGATATGGCATTGAATCTAATGATGTGTCGATGATGACGTGACACTTTTTATCTATTTTACAACACTCTTTTTACAACTTTAAATTATGAAAAATAGAAATTCAGTTCTTTTCTATCTCACAACATTTTAAATATGTTTTTTTTCAATCTCATCTAAAACCGTTAACTTTTCATCAATAACACAAAAGACTCAATATTTAAATGCATTGCCTCTCTCTACACCATCACGAATCTTAAATTCTTTGCCTAGCTAGTATAGTCAAGGCCCATGCCTTAACTTTCTTTGCACCATTGTGGACGCTAATTCCTCCCATAGCGACTTCATCTCCCTCCTTCTCCATCCTTTTATCCACTTTCTTAAGGCTTTTTTTTTTCTTTGTTTTACAAAGGTGAATGCATAGGAGCCTAAGGAAAGGGGAAAAGGGTTAGCTTTCCAAAAGGTAGGATCCAATTTTGATGGGTTTTTTTTAAGATGTGTGATAGTGAGGCAATGATAGCAATGGTTGAGGGACCAACCCAACTCAAATCAAATTTGTAAATAGTTATTTACACAAATTTGGGCTTCCTTTTAGGATAAAAACAAATTTAAAGGTTTTCATTTATATTTCACTCAAAATTTTCTTTAGAAATTGTGAGTGAGATTGTAATGATTTTTTTATCTTGAAAGGGCTAGTGATTAGGTTGAAATCTGATTGATTTAGTCTTTTTGTTGTTGGTAGTTAGATCTAATTCTTTTACTTGATAGGACTACAAATAGGAAAACCCTAGATACTAACTTATCGAGATTGAAGAGGACTCGAACCTCCATGCTTTTTAGCACGAGATTTTGAGTCTCACATGTCTACCATTTCACCACCAAGGCATCATGAAAGTGAATTATATTCAATGAATATAATATCTATCTATTGCAATGCATGGAATATATGACAAAAGTAGAGTGTTGGAGTATTTCAATTGATCGATCATGTCATATAGGCCTGAGTCAGACATCTAACTACTTCGATTTGACTTATTTAGAAGATGTCTTTTATATATATATATATTAAATATATAGATTATATTAAAAATGAAAAAGATGGGTAATCAAACCTATTTAATTCTTGATTCAATAGGAGAAAAAAAGAAAGAGGTGAATCGGGTCCCAAATAATGAGAGATATGTAAAAAGAAGGCTCGATTACATCTATTCCTAATCCTAAATGGAATGTAACGACGTAGAGATTCATATGTAAACATAATATTTATTTAGATATGCATGAATGACCCTTTCTCATTATGAAAATATATATAACCCTATTCTGGTCTGATCTAGTATGGAATGAACTTATAATCATAAAATTGACTTAATCATCAAATTATAGATTATAAGTTCATAACCCTAACCCATTCCCATTTTGGATGGAACAAATCTACTAATTCTTTTATTCTAGTTAGTAAAAAGGGACTTTGAACTAAGAAATATATTATACAAGTTAACTGTACTTTAAACTAAAAGTGGGTATCTTGAGCAATTACAATAATTAAGGCTTTCTTTCCATTTGACAGTAATAAGTTTCACCTAGCAACCTCACATTGGACAATTCCATGTCAACACTTATAAAAATCCATGTTAGTGCTTGGATATGACATGTCAGCACTATCATTACATCATTCATGAAATGTCATATCATCATTATCATGTCATCATAGTCAATGTCACATTAGCGACAAAATGCCATGTCAGCATAGATAATAGAAAAACTTCAACACCGGTTAAAGATTGAACTGATGTTGTAAATTTTGAAAACTAAATTTTTTCAAACTATTATACAATGACTAAATCCACAACTTTGACATTGTACAGAGACTAATTGCATAATTTAATAAAAAAAAGATTTAGTTTAAATAGAGAAAAAGTCTAGAGACTTTGATATTTGCCAATTTAATTTTAGTTACTATAATACTCATATATATATATATATATTAAATCAACACGATATTGTAATAATGTAATAATTGCACACCAATTAATTTTAAAAATTTAATTTAAAATTCATTATAATTGGAAAGACAAGTTAAAAATTATAATTCGTGTAACTTTTATTACCACATATTCAACAAATGACGACCATAAAATACTAAAGTCAAAAAAATAAATTTAAGTTTTGAGAGTCCTTATGAAATTATTTATTAAAAAAATTATAAAATATTGAAAAAATAACATGTACAAAAATGTTTCAAAATTTTTAAGCTCCCTTGACCTCTATGAAGATTTGCCCCTAATGAACTCCTACAAGTGTTCATGGGAAAGGTCGAGTTTGGGTTAAGCCTACTGAACCCAACTTCAAAAAGCTAAGTAGAGTGTGATATGGCTAGACCATTTAGTATCAATGAATAACTAAAATATTATTTTTATATTTTGAAATATGTTTTAGAATTAAAATTAGATAAAAATATTTTATTTATATCAACATAATAATTTAATTGAGACATGCCGAACTCAAGCCCAAGCCCAAGCTTGGTCTGAAGCATGTCAAGCTTGTGGATTTAAATATGTAACTCAACCTTTGAATTGTTGAAACACAAAACTAGAACAACAAAATGGCTTCAAGACATGTATTATGCCACTATATTGAAGGTCTTATTCTCCTGCATTGATAGTGTACAAAAGGGTTTCAAATAATAAACTTCGAGGATATAATGAAATTTAGTGATTGATTGTATTTTGCACTAAAAAAACCAATCTACTAAGCATCTACAGGTGTATGGCCAGATTACCTAACTTTTATAAGATTTTTCTATAGCAAAATGATATTGAAAAATCTGGAGAATATTGAGAAAGGAAGGAAATATTGTTATTTATTATTTCTGTGTATTTTTTAAAACTAGAGGAGAGTTTATTTATAGACATAGATGTTTGTTGACGTATGCTCTCAACATACACATTTGTTTGTTTCCAACAGACATAACTGTTGGTTTTTCAATAGAAAAAAAAATTAGTTTTCCAAAAAATATAACTATTGGCTATATAGACACTTATGTTTACAACTTAAAAATAAATTTAATTTATTATTTAATTACCTACCAAGTGCCAAGTACCTTCATAATATATTAATTATATATTAATTAATTTCAAGACCAACTATGGCTTGGAAAGCCTAACCATGCTCCGTTTTGCACTTTACCCACTTTAGTTCAACTAATGTAGACTTATTCTCCTCTTTATTTAAGGGACTCCTTCTCCAAAGTGGGATTGTGTCTCATAATTATTATTATTATTATTGAAAATGTCCAATAATTACCACCATTTTCAAAATAATCAAAATTTTCAATAATTTTGGAAATCAATTGTATAATTGAAGGTGTATTCCTATTAAACCTCCATTTAGTGAAAACATGTTAAAGTTAATCAAAATTGAAAGGTGTATTATACTTTGAACTAGCAATTCCATTTGGTTAAATGAACATATTTCACATAATGATTCCAACACCAATGAATGTATAATATCTGTCGACACTTTTATGGCTATACATCAACATCTTCCTTCCATGAGTGCTATTAAAGCCAAGCTATTGAGCTCTTAGAAGTAGCCACATTTTACACTCACATAGGTAGATCTTATCAAGAATGCCCTCATAACTAAAATACTCAAACAAATTAATGTTATGGGTTTATTAAGAGTAAATTACTTTTCCTTTCTTTACCATTACAAGTATCTACCACTTTACTTGGGATGGAATACTAGATATCATATTATAGTGCTAGTAGCCATATACAAATGACATACTTTCTCTCATTGAACTCAAGACTTGACATTATATCAAAGGTTAAGTTAAGGTTCCCCCATGAGTGACTTTTAATTAATGAGCTTAAGTGCAATCCCTTTTGAGATCTTATTTATAAGATTTTCAATAAGACTTCTTGTTAAAGGATTCATTAAATTTTTAATTCTTAGGATAACATCCACTACACCCATATCTTTCATTGTAAAATTATTTGACAAAAGTTTTTTTGTCTCCTCAACTTGTTCCAAATTTGTATCAAATATTAGCATGTCATGCACAATTAAGCAAATTATAACTCCTTCACCATTTTAGAATTTGCTATATATGTGCTTATCAAACTTATTTATTGTAACCATTGGCTAAAACAATAAACCTTTTTAGTTGTTTCATGTAGACTTCTTCTTTTAATTTATCATTTAAAAATATCGTCTTGACATCTATTTGGGGACTTAACAACTTATAAATTGATGTAAGTGAAATTAGAAGTCTAATTGTAACAATCATATCTATTGAAGCATAAGTGTCCATGTAGTCAATTCCTTTGTGTAAAGCCTTTTATTACTAACCTTGCTTTAAACTTGTCTATGGTTCCATCTACCTTAATGTATTTTGTTTTTGAAAATCCATTTACAACCCATTGGTTCAGAACATGGTGAAAGATCAAGCAAAATTCAAGTGTTGCTTCCCATTATTGAGTCCATCTCATTATTGATTGCTTCTTTCCAAAATGAAGAGTCTTGAGACTTCATTGCCTTGTCATATATAATAAGGTTTGATTCCAAACTAAGCCAATCAAGAGTTTTATTATATATATTTTCTCCCCTTTTTTCCAAAAAGAACATATAAAAATTTGGTTCAAAGTCTTTTGTTTTTGTAACCGTTTGCTGTAGTTGTCTTGAAATATACATTTGAATATATTTTCATAAAAAATTGCATATCTTGATTAAAAGAAAGTGTTGACTGAAATTGAATCATGTGGTTCAATTACTTTAAACCTTTACACTTTACTATGTTATGCATATCTTATAAATATAATTATATTCCTCTTTCATCCAATTTTTTTCTTTTGGGTTTTGAAACTTTAATTATAGCTCTATATCCCCAAACCTTCAAATAATTAAGATTAGTTTTTTTTTTCATTACTGATAAGGTATTATCTTAGTTTCCTCTTTAGGAGCTTTATTTAATATGTGACGAGCTATTAATAAAATTTCACCCCAAAAACTTTGTCCAAGATCAGAATATGATAACATTGCATCTACCTTTTCGGTCAAGATCTTATATTTCCTTTTTTGCCACCCCTTTATATTGTGGTGTGTAAGGTGCTGAAGTTTGATGGATAATCTCAATGGAGTTAAAATAACTGGATTATAATATTCTTTATTTCTATCCAATCTTAAGTACTTGATAAAAGATTCACAATGTAATTCAACTTTTGATTCATAATTATGAAATTTATCAAGCGTTTCAACTTTAGAATGCAACAAATAAATATGACAATATCTAAAGAAAGGAATGGGACACAATTTCTTTCTAGCTAATATATGTGTACTATGCATATTACAATCATCACTATTTATTATATTTCAAGTAATTTTGTATTTCTTTTAATCTTAGAGAAAGGATTCCTAGTTATTTCGTTAGCATGCATGTATTACATTTATTAATCTTTTGACTAAATCTAGTCTAACTTATATATGTGATCCAATCTTCTATAATTTAAATAACCTAATCTACAATGCCATAGATAAGAAGATTCAACCATATAAGAAAAAACAAGTGTCTTATTATTATTATTATTATTTAGTTTGAACATTATTTCATAAATGTAATCTGTCCCAACAAATATTTCTCTCTTGGATAGAAGAAATTTTTCTGCATCGAATACAAACCTAAAGCAAAACTTATTCAATAGACTTCCAAACATTAAATTCTTAATAACTTCTATAACATACCCTTTGCCTTTAATTGCAAATTATCGAACAGAATCTTGTCTTTGCATATATGCTTTGTTGGTCTTGAATTAACCCTGAATCAATCCATTGGGAATCATTATCAGCCATTTGATTTCAAAATTCATGGACACATTGCAAAAGCTTTAGAAGCATCTCCACTTGAAGAACTTTTCTTCAATAATAACATTCCTTTCCCAAATGTCCTAGCTTTCCAAGATGGAAGCATGTGCCATTCTTTTTTAGTTTACTTTGTTCATTTATTATGAATTTATTCTCCTTTTTATTTAAAAAATTCTTGTTTTCCTATTCTAATGTGGGATTGTATTCCATGATTATTACTGTTGAAAATATCCAACATGAATACCTCTTTACTTTAGCTTTGATTTAAGAGAAAAAAATCATTAAAAAGAGAAAGATAAAACAAAATGAAGCAATAACTTAATTGAAGTCTAGATATTAACAATATCTCTTTTGATATGTATGTGTATGTGTGGTTGTAAGAGAAGTTACATGAATACCCTTTTACTCTTGCTTTGATTTAAGAGAAAAAAATCGTAATAAAAAAAATAAAAAGAACTAACTTGACTGAAATATATTAACAATATCTGTTTTGATATATATATATATATATGTGTGTGTGCGTGCGCGCGTGCGTGTGTGGTAACAAGGGAAGCGAACCAATTTTGGAAAGAGGTTTCTGTTTCAAATTCTTGTAATGTTACATTTGTTCTTTTTCCCAAAAGTAATGTAGTTAGTTACATTTATTGTTTGCAGTTTTCTCTCAAAATATTTACAAGAAAACAAAATTTCTTTTAGCTGGCGGAATCAGAAGCCACTTGAGTTTGATGGCTCTTGATGCCAAGCCCTAATAACAGACACATTAACTAAGCTTTGAGGAACGAATTAATAATGATATCTTCTGTTGGCTCTAATTGTGAGAGGATATAAACCAAGTCCTAAGTTTAATCCTGTATCCTTTATTCCCTTAATCTTTTTCTGATTGTTCTTCTTCTGTCTTTGAGCTCCTTGAATTGTGAACTTGATAAGCATCACTCCTCGCCTCCTGTAGAAGAAAAAGAAAAGGTCACACCAGTATGTCATTCCTTTGGTTTTTTCAGGTAAAAAAATTCCAAGGTGAAGACCCTTGGTATAGATTAAGAAAATCATGAGAAAATCATTTTGTAAACTCACCTGTGAAATAGAAGAAGCTTGGCTGTGGTTGGGGGAGGGTCCAGCACTATGAGCAAAAAAGAAATGGTTCATTTTCCCTTCGGCAATATCTCTGAGTCTACAGAGCTCTGGCAAGACTTCCTTGCCAAGATCTGGCCTGTCTTTCCGTCTGAGTTCTGCGCATTGAAGTGCCAACTTTGCAAGGGACAAGGTTTCTTCAGCAGGCCAGTCAGTCACAGCAGGGTCCAGCATCTCTGTGAAAAATGTGCCCTTCTCGATTGCTCGCTCAACATAGTGAGCCAATCCCATTGGTGGCTTGGCCGTTATAAGTTGAAGAAGCAAGATCCCTAAGGAATATACATCAGATTTTACGCCGAGCATCCCTGTTTGCTGATACTCCGGATCGATATAGCAAAACGTTCCTGCTGTTGAAGTTACGCGGAACTGTGTCACATTCTCAGCAACAGCAGGGACAAGCCTGGCTAATCCAACATCGCTAATCTTGCTAACATAGTTGTGGTCTAGCAAAATGTTGCCAGGCTTAAGGTCACGGTGCACAATCGGCTCTGGCTTTGTCTGATGGAGGAAAAGTAGGCCTGTGGCAATCTCTGCAGCTATGCGGAATCTGAGTTGCCAAGACATGGCGGGGGTGTTCCCTCTCCTAAAGATACAGTCATCTAAGCTTCCCTTACCCATGTACTCGTACACTAGAATGCCATACTCTGGGCAGGCACCTAGAAGAAGTACCATGTTGGGATGGCGGATGCAGCTAAGTACTTCAATCTGCACAACAATAATCATGAGCAACAAGTTAGAAATTTCAGACTTCTTATTTACAACAATTCCTTAAGAAGCTTGGTCATGAGAGAATGCATAGGAAACCATGTTAAAATACCTTATTGACAAATCTAGCTTTCAATTCAATTAACAATTAAGCAAGACTAATCTACCACGGTTTTTTGAGTCAACTAGACATTTTATGAGTCTTGATGGAGTGCAGACTATGTAGTTTGTTTTAGAATTCTTTGCGTTTCCCTGGTGTTAAGACTAACAAGCAAGGGGTGTCCAAAGCTTCAAATCATACATGTCTTTTAAGAATCAGCCATCAATATTATTAGCTTCTCACCTCTTGCAGAAATTGTAATCTCCCTTGAGCAGCATCTGGGCGTAAAACCTTAACTGCAACCGATGTATGATCAAGATAACACTTATAGACGGGGCCATAACCTCCTTCTCCAATCTTTCGAGAGCAGGCAAAGCCATCTGTTGCTTGTTCAATTTCCTCGATACTATATCTTCTGTATTTGATATTACTCCGGGAAAGGGTGTCTAACATCTTCTTCATTTCCACCGTTTCTCTCAGGGTTTCCCCATCTATTTTCAATCTTCTAAGCGATTCAGATGCCGCAACTGCTTGTACGGCTTCCTGGCACTTAACCCTCTCTTTCTCTGCAGCAGACATTGCAGCTTCCTCAGCAAGTCGTGCCTCTTCCAATCTTTGTTCTTCTTGATGTTTGCAGCGATTCAGCTCCATTGCCTAACTTAAATATCTCATTACCACCCGTCTCTGTAATTCAGAAAATTCAGAAAAGGGGGAGTACTTTGATGACTTGCCTGTACCTGTTGTTTTGCTGAAAGGGCTTCTCGACATGCATTGCTGTACAAGTCCATTGTTTGCTTCAATTCTAGCCTCAGTCTCCTCATCTCAGCTTCCACTTCCTCCTGTTGTTTGTAGATTAAATAAGCAGAAACGTCACTTTAGCCAGCCATGATTGGTATAAGCATGGTGAAAATTTTGAGACTAAAACTTTAAGGACTACTGAAATGATGCTGAATTTTGTGTTCCTTAGCAACAGAAAAAAAGAAGATGATTTAACCAACACTTTGTGTAATGATAATTTGTTACATAATTTACTAGCTTATGCATAAGGATTTTTTAATTGGATGATAGAAATTAACTATGGAGTTCACTTCAGTTTTGAATTCAAAAGTGTGATTAAGACAATGTACTTATTTTGATCCAATCAGATTTCTTTTAGATTGTTTCTTTGTATATTTTTAATGCTTAAGCTTTGACAAGCATCTTTAAATGGTGCAATGATATGAGATGAGATAAATGGGACCTGGTGTCTATATTAAAGTTAGCCTTCCATAGGAGAAAGAGTGATTGGCTTTACCAGATTCTGAGATGAACATGATGATCTTCCACTTTCTTGTGAAACTGATGAGAATTCATGTGGTGTAGTACGGTCACTCCACTTGATTCCTAAACGCATTGATCCTATGCTATGATCTGTGCTGCTTGATGTCCGTGAATTTCGGCTAGAATCAACAAATGAATCAAAGAACACAGAAGAGTTACGATCAGTGCTTGGTCGTTCTGAGCTGACAAATGATATATCAGTATCCGATTCTGAGAAATCCCCAAACGCTTTCATGAGGCTGGGTCTTGCACCTGGGTATGGTGACCTGGTTTTTGTAAAGATGATGGTAAGTTCATCAGTAAGATCATATCAACTCCAAGCTACCAGTTCCAAGCTTTTAAGTTGATAAAATTAAAGGGTTAATACTTATAACTGAAATGGTACAGTAACGGATGAGCTTAAACTAATTTCGAACATCTTCAGTATTGGTTAATGAAATTTCCCTACAAGAATCCTTGCTCTACTTTGCTACAAATTTTCCTCTTAAATTTTACCCAAATTGATGCTGAGCCAACCCCGGACTCGAAAACTATCAAATTACTTTTCTTCCTGGATGTATGGTTGGGTAGCATCTGGAAATGATATACTTGAAGTCTTTGAAAATTCACCCAATTCATTTCCTTAACAGGTTTATTTCTCGAGACTTACCTGCTACCTCTGTCAACTGAAGTACGAGGCTTGACCATTCTGTCAGCTGTATATTCAAGAATCAAAAGTTGCATTTTCAGTGAATCCATAAATAAACTACATTGAAAGCACATTACTATAGGAGGGAAACAAACCTCCTTTTACACTACCACTGTGCAGGGATGGCTTATCAACAGAATCTGTATTTTGTTTCTTAATTTCATCGAGTAGTGGGGAGGAGTGTGGGGCTGAACGAGAGGCATTTCGTACTGAAGAGACCTTTCCTTTGGAAATGACATATACAGTGCAGAAGTCTGGTGAAAGTTTTGATACACAGCTTGGTGTATCAGCCCTGAATTTTCTGCATAACAAAAACCATAAGTCAGAGGAGCTTGGCTTGGTAAACTCGACAAAATTACATCTCTAAGGAAGAATTTCAAGGTTGAAGTGCCATCATTCTTGTAGTTTAAAATCTAGGAAGTGCATGTTACCCTGCATGTTTTGATTTGCAACAGCTAAGGTGATTATTGCACTTGCCACACAAAAGCTTTTTATAAATGCATTTATCATTTTCTACATGTGTTGGACCAGGAAGAAGTCTCAAATACCATCCTGGTCACTGTACATCCAAGCTTTTCTGTATTTCTTCAACGTCTTTACTCTCCAAGAATTAACAAATTCAGCTTTGCTTTAATTGAGCCTATGTCCATGATAATTGGCTACTCATGACTTATATCTGTATGTTTTTTTTTTTTTATATGCCATATAAAATCCATAAGGCCACCATGGGAATGTGGCTTAGATGGCCAAATCAAAACTGGAGTTGTTAAAGCCAGATTCTGTTTCGCAGAAAAGAAGCTAACCTGAGAAGAAAATTAGCTATTGCGACAGAAAATCTTCATACAGAAAACGAATGAAGCTATCTAATCCTAGACAGATGTAAATCATTGACTAATCCTAGCAATGAATTCTACCAAAATCATATTTTTGTGCACATATTTCTCGGAGTAAATCTTTTGATCTATCAGTGATTTCAGTCGGACTCTTGGCTGTTTAGAGTTTAAAATCCGATTTTCCCTGTAAGGCCAATCATGTTGAGTTCTCATTATGATCATCACCCTGTCAAAACATTTTTGTGTGAATATTGAGCTGGAAACAAGGAGCAGCTACCTCATAAATCCACTTCGAGCTGGGGCACCAAGAACCAATTTCTCAATTGCAGCATAAGAGACATATTCTGTCAATGCTTTAACTATATCCGTGTCTTCGAGTATGATGTCAAGGCAATGTATCTGATGTCAAAAACAACAAAGGGGAGACCAAGTCACAGCATTTTCTGGTTAACTATTATATTATGTGAAAGAAATCATTGCGGTTGCTCAAAGGATTGCATTCTATTGATGAACCTTACGTCTTTTCGAGTACAATAACAATGGAAGGTGAGGAACAAATCCTTGGACAGCTTTTCGGCCATGTGTTTATTTGATAGGGGTAAGTTTATGTCACAAACCACAGCAGTACCTGCACCCGAATCAGTTTAATAAGAATTCAGCAAGCAAAAAAAATCTAAGAACCTGCTAAAAATCTTCCAATTTCCTCCTGAACATATATTGTTTAAACTACTTTTAGGCACAAGCATTGGAAATGTAACTGAGACAGAGAGAGGGAGTTACTTGCTACATGGGTAACTGCTGCTGCTTTGTTAACAACATGAATAAGAATAACAGTTTGGCCTCTGGAAAGAAGATTCTCCACTGCCCATCTCAGAGCATGTTGGCTCCCTTTATCCTTGTCTATAGCCACTGCTACCAGCCCATTTCCCACACCTTTCTTTGTACAAGAAGCATATCTATTAGGAGTCCACATTTTCTGTCTCTTTTTTTTCTAAAAATTTTTTGTCTTCTCTTAATTGTCTTTAAACAGAAGGTACGAAGTCACCCGGATTGTTAAAACAAAGAGATTCAAGTTTTTCCAGATAAAAGAACTACCCCATTGAATTATAATCTACAACTAGTTTGAGAGGTCCCAAAACCTCTCTTCCTCTAATCTCTATGCAAACATCAAAATTCCATGACACTGACCATGCATTGCCTTTTATTATCTCCTTTCAAACAGGGTTGTTGGTTTCTCTGTTTCTGGCTATCAAATAGGAGCCTCAAAAATTTGCTAGTATTTTGACCGAGAATTGTGTACCAGTAAAAGGCATAAATTAGCAAAACTTAATAAAACCAAGGCCTAGAATTCCTCCCTTTTTCTCTCTGCTTGCATGGCCCAAATTCCCTTCCCCGTTATGTGGGATTTAGGAAAAGAAATGTGCCATTGCTTTTGTACTGAAATGGGGCTAGATGAAAGGGCTCAGTACCCAAAATGAAGCACTTATTCATCTAATTAATCACCAAAAGCCATTTTTTTCAATAAATGCTAATAGTTTTTCCTCTTTTTATTGTACTATTTACTACTTCCTATGAACTTGTTGCCAAAGATTTTGCGTGTGTGGTTTAGAATTATTAACCTTAATCACGTTAATAGTATTCTCGTTTTCATATCAGGGTTCCTTTCTGTTTTTTTTTTTCTTTTTTGTTTAATAATTACTATAAACTCCATAGCATGTTCAATAATTTTTATATAAAAACAAAGTAATTTATGTGATGGTAAACAAATATTGAAACAATCATGAAAAATACTTAATATAACATAAAAGAATAAAGAAAGAATATAGATAACAACAAAGTTGGGAGCTAAAATTTTTTCTATTGCAGAAGGTTTGAGGGTTTTTTTTAAAAAAATAAATAATAACAAAAACAGAATTAATGAAAATAGCAAATCAAAATTGAATAAACAGAGTCATATTTCATTAGTCTTTTTGGTGTGGACATACATGTGGTAAATTTTGTCCAAATTCTAAAGATATGTTGATTTAAAATAATTTTAAAACATCACAAATGGAAATAAAAATTATTGAATTCCGAATAAAGCTGAAATATTGTGAAAAGCTAACAGTTTAATGGTGTAATTGATTCATATAACTAATGAAGAGCTGTTATTATATAAGTTCTATGAGGACCTATTCTCTTCTTTGAGAATCCAGATATTTGAACTTATCCAAAAAAATATATGGTGTAATTGTACATGTGCAGTTCGTTTAGTCCAGTTAGTGGTTTCAAATTCCAAATTGCTCCATACTCATAGAGGAGCAAATTGGTAGGAATACAAGGGATGGGACACGTGACAATCTGATTCCCAGCAAAGGTGGGCTTGCTAGGGGTTGAAAACAGTTATATCGACACATTTGCCTCTCATAATATAATAAAATAAAATATAATAATTCTTTTATGAAAAAAATAAAAAAAATAAAATGAAATTGTTATTATGTCGTTTAATTTATAAAATAAAAAAAGTAAGAATTATTACTATAATTTATTCTAATGTGTTGGTATATGTCCTTGAGCCAATTAGATTGGTAAAAGAATATATATTGTTATTTAATGCATATTTAATTGTATAATTTTATGTGATAGATATTTTTCTTCATGTTAGTGCAATAATAAGAAGTTATTAAGTACTAATTAGATAAAGCCTATGGAACATAAAGGTCTTGCAGGAGAATTATAAAGTTATTATAATTATGAGATCACTATCCATTAAAATCATGTTCCTAAAATTATTCTTGGTCATTGTATTGTCAAGACAGAATATTGACAATGTTCAAAGACTGTACATGTTAAGCCTCCTTATTTAGAAAGTAAATAATTGATCTCATAGATTGAAGTATATGGGATATTTGAGGATAATATGTAGGTATTTGTTAAAGAACAAGTTTACTCAACATGATCCGCTATGAGAATTTCATTTGGTATTTCACTCAAGTGTCTATAAAAAATGTTCTCATTTGATAGTCGTGCAACTAGTCCTTAAACTTCACACTAAGTTATCTTGTATGGGAATGATATACTTTGATTTCACCTCTATGAGTTTGGAAGCAACCGAATGCCTAAACAGAGTGTTTTTGGGCATGCCATGAAGTATGCGAAGGTAAATAAGTGGTCAAGAGAGGATTCGTCACCCCAAGTGATATGAGGGCATGTATCTCACTTGTTCTCAATTCTTGATTAACTTGTATAAAGTCTTTGGCCAAAGCATGATGAATTTAAGGAAAATTAGTTTTCTAAATTCATAAGGTTAGTCATGAATTATGAGAACTAATATGAAATGTCGTAGTAGACATTGAGCCATGCTTAATGATATATTTGGGATATTTGATGAAAGGACTGTATTGCACTAAAAGGCTTATTAGTGAAGGGCTTTGTCAAATGCTTTAATTGACTCTCTAACATTTAAGTGGTCATGATGTATTGCTAGATGCCACTCATGATCTATAAATACAAATTAATTATCAAATTGATATTTGATTATGATTTATATTTATTGCCAACATGTTAGAAGCCTAATGGGTCACATACATTAAGTGACATGATTGTGATTAAATAAGAATAATTAATTAAGTTGGACTTAATTGAAAGAGACCAAAATAAAGTGAGAAATTAATTAAGTTCTCAAAGACTTAATTAAATTAAAATACAACTATTGTATTTAGGGTTACAAATTAGTTTGACTATATAAATATGTTATATTAGTAAACTAAAAATATGAAGCCTCTTACTACATTCGAGCCGTTTCATAAAATAAGAAAAGAA